TTTGGCGAAGAATAGCACGCATTCTACGATTCAGTGGACGTTTCTCAAATAGGATATAATAAGATTCACGAGGCTGAGTCGTCTCGCAGGTTACAGTTCAGCTAACAATGCGGCGGCCCGTGTATAAATAGCGATCGGCAGTGATCCTACCGTTGAACAAGAACGAAACGGTAAATTTAAACGCACTTGCAATTCCCATCACTTGCAACTTTACTCGGACACCTGCTGAACTCGTGCTGAAGACGAGCAAGCGTCGACCGATTCGTCGATTAATCAAAACAGACTGCCGGAGATGAAAACTTTTCGAAGGGAGAGGAAAGTGGCGAGAAAGTGACGATTATCGGAGCACAGCTTTTTTTATTACTCGAAGAAGTTTTCTGAACCGAAATCTCTGTTCACACCGAATTTAGCAGAGGGAAAGTTGTATCTACCGATATCTATCATGCGAGCGCATTTGCGTTTCTGAAGACGTCAGTTCTGGCAATCGAGATTCTCTCTGGTATCTATCTCTGGTCTCTTTTGTTGTGCGTCGCCGTTTGTTTACTACGATGAGCTTAGCAGAAACGTATGTCGCGATTACGTGGACGAAGGTGACAAGAAGCAATGATCGCCACGTACTATTCTTAGCCACAGGTAGAGCGGCATCGCACGGGCGCTTTGACTTTTCAACTCGTGGGCGAATGAACTGCGCCGTTTCTTCTTCTTCATTTTTCTTTTTCCTTCCTTCTCTCCATTCCTTGATCATCGACCCTGATATCACCTACCTCCTAATTTGCTCCCGCTCACTTTTATTTTCAAATCGAAGCAACCTCCACGAGCAAGTAGGCCGGATCAGGTGGATTCTCTCGGAATGTATCGTCGATTCGCGGACTCGTTTGGCTATTGTTCGCCACAGCGTGGTTGAGCAAACGAGTTTCGTTTTAAACTGAAACTTGTTATTCTGTTAGAATGGATATTAGAAAAAAAAAAAAAACAAAAGAGGAGAAGAATAGTTAAATATTCAGCGTGACGTAGCGCGCTCAATTCAGAAGCAAAGACGACGATGATTCCTCCAGTTCGTGCGTCATTCGACCGCGATGGACGTGTTGAATAATTAGATATCGCGATGTCGTTATAAATATCGAAATAAGCGAGTATCCTCTTAGGGTTACGAAAGGTTAATCTCTTTCTTTTTCGAAAATCGCTCGATCACTCGCCACGAGTAAAGAATTCCATTGATCAATGTAGTAGTAGGTGCTCGAAGACCGTTCTTGGGAAATATTCTTTCAATTAGTGAACAATCAGTCACCGTTCACTGCTGGAATATTTTCCTAATGGCCGCTTCGTTCGTTGCATCGTGCCGTTTTTTGAAGCAACATTAAAGTGTCTGTAATTACACAGGCAAACGACAACATACCACGTCGAACGTCGATTATTTCTGTTCCAACTTATTTTAATTTTAACTGCGTGCGTTTATTGATTTTCGGTTATTATTAGTGAACGAGTCCCTGAATCGCGCGTGACGTAAAACAATTTCACCTTGTTCGAGCCCATAGTGGCCTGAGTATTGCCATTAATTGACGAAAGACAATCGGAAATGAAATGAAACTTCAGCGACTCATGATGAGCCTGTGTGTCGAGCGTATCTCCGTACAACAATTCTAGCAACAATTTGTTGCACCTGTCCCTTGTAATCGGTCGATGGACGACGACATCGTTCCAATCAAATTCTCTATGCAATTTGCTCTGAAGGAAATAAAATGAAAGAGCTGCCTCGTGCTCGGAATCTGATGACTCGAGGCATTCCACAGCGATTTATTTTAAAAGGCACGGTCGTTCGCATTTCCATTCCAGTGATTTGCACTCAAAACGAAAATAGTATCTCACTCGGCCGACGATCGCTGTTCCAGTGGATCGAGTATCGTATCGTCGTTCACGCGATCTACCACGTTGTCGTCCGTATGTCGTCATTCGGAATACCTCGATACACCCTCGACACAGCCATGGGCAAAACCACGTGTACACTTGACAGCGATACCGCAATTTATCGGAATTGGCGCAGATATTTTCATCGCCGCGTGTTGCGTCAGAGCCAGCGTGTAGCGTTCGTACTCTGTTCACGAAGGAACGAACGAGGGAAATACATACCCAGTGTATCGGACTCAGCATTTCGAGGTGGGCGACAAATGACGCAGGAAAAGAGTGTTCCTCGCACGTGCGGCGAACCTTGCCAGCAATTGACCATCTTTGAAGGAATTAAATCAAGCCCGACCTTCGACCCGTTTGCATCGCCAATGAATAAAACATTATCGGTCGAACGGTGGGAATAATTCGATTGACCTCTCTATCGTCGAATACGATCAGGAATTTAACTTCTTTATTTTTTTCTTCTCTCTCTTTTTTTTTTTTTTTTTAAATTATTATTGTTACATCTCGATCTGAGCAGCCGCTCGACGGGTGAATGCAAAGTATCGATTGCTCCAGATTTCCCCTTGAAACACGAGCAACGAGAGCAAGTGGAAGAGCTCCGATTGATCGCGGGACCTTTAATATACTCGAACGAGGCCTCGAGAACGAATTGACAACGAGTTAAAAAGGGTGAGATGCTGGACTCGCTCGGATCTTCTTTCGCCCTATTTCTGATTCAGTCGGATTCGAGAAATTTGGCAAACTATGCGGGACAAACGAGTGCTGACAGAGAGTGAAAGAATAGAAAGTAATATAACGATATATAATAATTCAGAATGCTGGATTCATTTCAGATTCATGCCGATTCATTTATTCGGCACGTATAGTAGAAACGGATGTCGAATGAAAAGAGAGAAACACTTGACGCGTGGATACACACGTACGTACGTAAACGAATAGATAAACGCGTTCATTAAGATTAGTACGCAACTGCGCGATACGCCGGAGTTAATTGAACAAGCAACAGAGAGGAGAGACGAAAAGGAAGGGAAAGGACAGATACACTCTTTCGTTTCTCCACGTGCTTCGCTGTACACACGTCGACGTGTACGAGAGATAAACGCCGAACGAAAATAGAAAAATATTAAAAGGAACTGTTTTCCACGACCGTGGACTTGTCAAGTTCGACAAACAACTCACGACAAATAGCTCCGCGTCCCGATAAAAGTGCGCGTTCAACCGTGTTCTCGGAAACGCGTGATTGTGTATTTCGGTATCGAAAAACTTCACGCCGTGCTGAGGGGGAAAGAAAACTAAGGCGAATCATTACCGAATGTTTCTGTCAAAAATGTTCGAAAACCGTACGAGGAACTTTGAATCGTTGAATTGGCCACCTGCTTTTCGACACAAATCGTCAATAATCGGCTAGAGCATTCGTTTCGAGCCTTGCTACGCTGCGCTGATAATGTGAAAAAAAAAAAAAAAAAAAAAAAAAA